GACCCCGAATAGCCAGAGGGATGTTGAAAAAGAAAAGCAAAGCCGGTGGCATCACAATTCCGGACTTCAAGCTCTACTACAAAGCTGTAATCATCAAGACAGTATGGTACTGGCACAAAAACAGACACATAGATCAGTGGAACAGAACAGAGACCAGAAATGGACCCTCAACTCTATGGTCAACTAATCTTCAACAAAGCAGGAAAGAATGTCCAGTGGAAAAAAGACAGTCTCTGCAACAAATGGTGTTGGGAAAATTGGATAGCCACATGCATAAGAATGAAACTGGACCATTTCCTTACACCACCCACAAAAACAGATTCAAAATGGATGAAAGACCTAAATGTGAGACAGGAGTTCATCAAAATCCTGGAGAAGAATACAGGCAGCACCTCTTCAACCTCAGCTGCAGCAACTTCTTCCTAGAAACATCGCCAAAAGCAAGGGAAACAAAGGCAAAAATGAAATATTGGGACTTCATCAAGATAAAAAGCTTTTGCACAGCAAAGGCAACAGTCAACAAAACCAAAAGACAACCGACAAAGTGGGAGAAGATATTTGCAAATGACAATATCAGATAAGTTCTTTATAGATTTTGGATACTAGCCCTTTAAGAAACTCAACACCCAAAGAACAAATAATCCAATCAAGAAATGGGCAGAAGACACGAACAGACATTTTTCCAAAGACAACATCCAAATGGCCAACAGACATGAAAAAGTGCTCAACATCGCTCGGCATCAGGGAAATCCAAATCAAAACCTTAATGATACCACCTCACACCAGTCAGAATGGCTAAAATTAACAAGTCAGGAAACGACAGATGTTGGTGAGGTTGCCAAGAAAGGGGAACCCTCCTACACTGTTGGTGGGAATGCAAGCTGGTGCAGCCACTCTAGAAAACAGTATGGAGCTTCCTCAAAAAGTTGAAAATAGAGCTACTGTGCGACCCAGCAATTGCACTACTGGGTATTTACCCCAAAGATACAAACGTAGTGATCCGAAGGGGTACGTGCACCCCAATGTTTACAGCAGCAATGTCCACAATAGCCAAACCATGGAAAGAGCCAAGATGTCCATCAACAGATGAATGGACAAAGAAGATGTGGTATACGCGCACACACACACACACACACACACACACACACAATGGAATATTACGCAGCTATCATAAAAACCAAAATCTTGCCATTTGCAATGACGTGGATGGAACAAGATGGTATTATGCTAAGTGAAATGAGTCAATCAGAAAAAGACAAGTATCATATGATCTCACTGATATGAGGCATTCTTAATCTCAGGAAACAAACTGAGGGTTGCCGGAGTAGTGGGGGGTGGGAGGGATGGGGTGGCTGGGTGATAGACATTGGGGAGGGTATGTGCTATGGTGAGTGCTGGGAATTGTGTAAGACTGATTAATCACAGACCTGTACCTCTGAAACAAATAATACATTATATGTTAAAAAAAAAAAGAAGATAGTAGGAAGGGAAAAATGAAGGGGGGAGAAATTGGAGGGGGAGACAAACCATGAGAGATTATGGACTCTGAGAAAAAAACTGAGGGTTCTAGAGGGGAGGGGGGTGGGGGGATGGGTTAGCCTGGTGATGGGTATTAAAGAGGGCACGTATTGAATAGAGCACTGGGTATTATATGCAAACAATGAATCATGGAACCCTACATCAGAAACTAATGGTGTATGGTGATTAACATAACATAATAAAATTAAATTAAAAAAAAGGCCATTTCCTAATAATAATAGGGTTAAATTATCAAGACATAATAATCCTAAATATTTAGTATCCGATAACAGTGCTGTAAAACATAACAAGTAAAAACTGACAACTTCAAGGAGAATTAGAAGATTACCAAAAGATTAAATTCCTCTCTCAATAATAGAGCAAGCAGACAGAAGTTTGGTAAGGATGAAAACCTGAACAACACTATAAAGAATTTGACTTAATGGATATTTCTAAAACATTCTAGCCAACATCAGCAGAATGTACAATCTTTGCAAATGCACACAGAACATTTGCCAAGATATCCGTATTCTAGACTCTAAGTCTCAATAAATTTAAAAATATTTCAAGCCATACAACCTATATTCTCTCACTACAATAGAATTAAAGTAGAAATTAATAGAAAGATAACTGGAAAATTCCCCCATATTTGGAAACTACATGGCACACACTTCCAAATAATTCATGGGTCAAAGAACAAATCCAAATGGAATTTGGAAATATCCTGAACTAAATGAAAATGAAAACATTTATGGAGAGTTGCTAAAGCAATACTTAGGAAGAAATTAATATCACTAAATGCCTATATTGGAAAGGAAGAAGCCTCAAGTCAATGACCTTAGCTTTCATTTTAAGAAACTAGAAAAAGATGAGCAAATTTTACTGAAGTAGAAAAAATAAAATAATAAAGATGAAGAGAAATCAGTCAAGTAGAAAACAAAAACAAAAAAGCAAGAAAATCAATGAGATCTGGTTCTTTGACAAGATCAATAAAATTGAGAAATCTCTAGGCAGACTGATCAGCAATGAAAGAGAACAAACTGCCAATATCAGAAATGGGAGAGATAATATCACTACAGATTCTATATATGTTAAAAGGATAATAAGCAAATATTATGAACAATTTTAAACTAATAAACTTGACAACTGAGATAAAATGGACAAATCCCTTGGAAGATACAAGCTACCAAAAAAAACTTTTCCCACCACAGGCTCAGATAGTTTTACTGGGGTATTCTATCAAATACTTATGGAAGAAATAATAACGAATCTATACAAACTCTTCCAGAAAACCAAAAAAGGAGGCGATATTTTTGAACTTATTCATTGAGGTCAGCATTATTTTGATTCTAAAACCAGACAAAGACATTACAAAGAAAGAAAACTACAGGCCAATATCCTGACTGAACATACAAGGAAAGATTCTAAACAAAATTTTAACAAATCTAATCCAACAATATATAAAAGTGATAATACACCATGAGGTAGAGTTTATTATGAGGCTGGTTTAATATTCAAACATCAATTGATATAACTAATCATATTAACAAACTACAAAAGAAAACCACATGATCTCAATAGATACAGAAAAAGCATTTGATAAAACTAACATTCACTTCTGATAAAGACTCTCACCAAACTAGGAAGAGAAAGACACTTCCTTAACCTGATAAAAGGCATTTATGAAGAACCTGCAGTTAACATCAATATCTAGTGGTGAAAGAATGAATGCCTGATTTTAGGAGAAAGCCTGGAGATCAGCTCTAAATACTTCTATTCAGCATAGCCCTGGAAGTTCAAAGCAGTACAATAAAGCAAGAAAAAGAAATAAAAGGCCTCGTATTGGAAGGGAAGAATTAAAACTGTCTTTAAAGATAGACAATATGATTATGTAGAAATTCTATTAGCCTCTACAAAAAGTTTTTATAATTAATATGTGAGTTTAGCAAGTTTGCCAAATAAAAGATCAGCATACAATAATGGACTTCCATATACTATCAGTAAAAACAAAACAAAACAACACCATTTACAATAGCATCCAACCACATACAATACTTAGGGATAAATCTGACAAAGTGAAAGACTGGTACGTTGAAAACTACAGAATGTTGCTGAGAGAAGTTAAAAACATAAATAAATGTAGAGATACAATTGAGTTCACAGGTTCAAAGACTTAAAATAGTTTCATTAGGATGTCAATTCTTCCCAAATGGACTCTGTAGATTCAACACAATCCCAGTTAAAATTCCAGCAGGAATTTTTGTAGGAATCCTTATAAAGTGATTCTAAAATTCACATGAAAATGCAAAAGATCTAGAATATTCAAAACAACTTTGAAAAGTAACAAAGTTGGAAGACAAACACTGCCTGATTTCAAGAATTATTATAAAGGTATAGTAATCAAGAAAGTAAAGCAGATCTGGATTTTAGGTATGGCTCTAACATGAATATGCAATGAGATGAATAATAATGCAGACTTGAAAACTCTGTATGTGTCACTGTTCTTTAAGAAAATCTAAAGAGGTAACTATATTTTTTATTAGATATTTTCATGTAGAAGATACAGTACCTAAAGGGAGGAATTAATTATTGCATTTTTCTTGGTAAATATGTGTGTGTGAAAGCATTCTTTCAACTAAATATGTAACCAAAGGATTAACTACTTCTATATTATTATTGCATATATAAAAATTATAATGGTCCTGGGAAGCAATATTATTTTTGGACATGATATCTGTATCTGTATCTCAAACACCTAAACCTCTACTCTAATCCTAATGGAGAGGACATATTATCTTAAAAACATCAGCATTAGGTCAGTAAGTAATTTTACTTACAAAAATGAACTGGGATTGGAATTCTTCAGTACATGAGGAAGCACCAACAAGCTGGTGATTGTGGTTTGTGACTGGAAGGGTTTTGAGGGTGAAGTTTTTTCTACAATGAAGTTTTTCTCTTTTCCCCTGTTAAGAAGAGTTAATAACAATCATTGTAGATGCTTCTGTCCTTTTTAAAATTTTTATTCCTTCTTAAATTTGTGTAGTGGGACACAATATTTCTTTTCATGGAAACTGCTTGAAAAACTCAGTAAATTTTAAATTCCTTTGAGATTATTTTTTTAATACAAACTAGTATTTATTAAAAAATAATTTGCCATTCATACAATCCTCCAAATAACCTAGATATCCCCTTTCCCCATCCCCAGCCCCAGGTCAAGAGAGGCCACCATAGAGAGGCCGATTTGGTCTGAAGTGCTTACATCCACTCTCAAATTTTATTTTAAATTGTTTTCTGGTGGTATGCACTCAGCTTGTAAAAGAGACAGCATTTTTAATATGAAATTGGCTGTCACTACATTAGGCAATGCCTCCTTTAAGAGGCTTCAAGAGAAACATTCTTTTCATAGCTATTGCTGAAAAATGTTTTGCTTCTCCTTAACAGAGAGCATGAGTTTTAAGAAAATGTATTGACCGTGCAATCCAGGTAAACCAATGTATTCTATTCTTTTTACTGGCTGCTAGGAAACTAGAGCTGATGTTCCAGCATATGAACTAGTATGTATTATATGGTATTCTGTAGTGTATAGACCAATATTGCCTTTTTTATATATAAAATCTTTTTACAGGAAATATTGGTCCACATATAACAGAGAACAACAGTACGAGTTTAATCTGATTAAAGGAACTTCCTGAAAATAACTCTAAAGTTCATCTAGAAACACAAATTTTCCTAAAAAAAATAAGAGTGCTACTGAGAAAGAATATGTCCTACCACTTATTAAAGATGTATTACTCAATAACAATAGATAATAGAATGTGCTACCCTCTTAAAGATGAGACAGGAAAATCTAGAAATAGATCAAGTGGATAAAAGGCTTTAGGAAAAAAAATGGCAGTCTAAATAAGTGGAGAAAGGCTGGGGTGCCTGGGTGGCTCAGGTGGTTAAGCATCTGACTTTTGGTTTCAGCTTAGGTCATGATCTCAGGGTTTTGAGATCAAGTCCTGCCTCTGGCTCTGTGCTCAGCGGAGAGCCTGCTTCTCTCTCTCTCTGCCCCTCCCCCCACCTCGGACGCACATGTGCGCGCGCCCATTCTCTCTCTCTCTCTCAAATAAAATCTTAAAAAAAAAATAAGTGAAGAAAGGCTATAGGGGCGCCTGGGTAGCTCAGTCAGTTAAGCCTTGGCTCAGGTCATGATCTCAGGGTCCTGGGATCTAGTCCTGCGTCGGGCTCTCTGCTTGGCAGGGAGTCCACTTCTCCCTCTCTCTCTCTTTGTGCTCTCCCTCTTGCTCTCTCTCAAATAAATAAAATCTTAAAAAAAATACTTAAAAAAAAAGAAAGGCTATGAATCATGTAAAAATGAATTAAGAAAAAGTTATATTCTTAATATGCAATAAATCATGTTGAAATTTTAGCACTAAAAATTTATGTAAAAATGAAAATACTTAGGAAGTAGAAAAAAATAGGGAATATTTATATTATCTTAAGGTGGGGAAGGCTAAAGGCAGATAATTCAATAGAAAATATAGAACTGACTATTTAAAAGAGACATCTGAATTTCAAACAAAACAGAAAACTGAAACCAACCTGATAATTAGTACTAAAAACAACAAAAAGTAATTGCAACACAGATGTCAGTTAAATAATCCGTATCTTCAATATGTAGTGTTTTTACATGTAGTTTAGAAAAAGATGAAGACAGAAAAGGACCTCAATAACTCACAAAAGAAAAAATATAAATCTCTAATAAATGCATAAAAATGTAAGACCAATATCAAAAAATAAAAATAAAATGCCATTTTTGCCTATCAATTTTAACAAAGGTTAAAAACACAACTTACTCTGAGGACTAGGGTGGATGGATACTTTCATGCAAAGGTAATAGGGGAGTAGATTGATATAAGCTTTCTGGTGGGCCTTTGGGGATCTGTATCAAAAGCAAAGACTTGAAAAATATGTGTAATCTTTGATGCAACAATTTTATTTCCAGGAATTTAGTTTGAGACAATAAGGATATGTACAAAGATTCGGCTAGAATAATGTTCATCACAGCACTGTTTAAAATAGTAAGTGATGATAACCTATATACAATAGTAACTGGTTACATAAACTGTTGTTCCTACATAAAATCAATTGCTACATGGTCACTAAATATGTTTCATAAAACTGATACCACCAGGTACTGACGAGGATATGGAACCAGAGGAACATTTATATGTGGATGGGGAGACTACAAATTGGCAAAACCACTTTGGAAAACGATGGCAATATCTACTTGAGCTGAACATACACAATCCTAGGACCAAGCAGTTCCACTTCAGAAGTTTCATTTCAGCAGAAATGTGAACCTATGTGCACCCAAAGGCACATGGACAAAAACACTCATAGTTGCATCATTCATAATAGACCTGAAGTGAAAACAACCCAAATGTTTATCAACAGTAGAAAAGCAAAATTATAGTTTATTTAGATAATAGAATACTATATTGCAAAGAAAGTAAATGGACTATTATCATCTACTACAACACTGGGTGCCTGGGTGGCTCAGTTGGTTAAGCGTCTGCCTTCCACTCAGGTCCTGATCCCAGAGTCCCAGGATTGAGTCCTGCATCGGGCTTCCTGCTCAGTGGGGAGCCTGCTTCTCCCTCTGACCCTGCTCTCTCTTGTGTTCTCTCAAATAAATAAAATCTTGAAAAAAAAATGGGCAAATCACACATACAAAATGTTGAGCTAAAGAAGAATACATACTGACTTGATTTGTATGAGAGACAGTGAAAAAAGTCAGGATAGTATTTACCTTTGGGGGTAGAGCATGAAAGAGGCTTCTGGGGTGCTGGTAGTATTTTATATCTTGGTTTAAAGGGAGTTAATTCACTTTATGACAATTTATTGGTAGGTACACTTAGGATGTGTGCACCCTCCCATATGTATATTTTAGTATAAAGTTTAGTTTATAAAATTGATGTTTATATAGGTTTCTCTTAAAAATCTTATCTGTAGATCTGCAACACAGTTGTGTGGGATGCTTGTTAGTGTGCAGCTTTCTGGACTCTAGCCCAAACTTAGTGAATCCAGTTCTCTGCGGCACAGGATTCTCCATTTTATTTTATTTTTTAAAAAGATTTATTTTAGAGAGAGAGAGTGAGGAGGGAGAGGGGCAGAGGGAGAGAATCTTCTAAACTCCCTGCTGAGCATGGAGCCCTACGCAGGACTTCATCTCATGACCTAGAGATCATGACCTGAGCCAAACCAGGAGTAGGTTGCTCAACCGACTGAGTCACCCAGGTGTCCTGGATTCTCCATTTTAAACAAGCTCCTTGGATAATTCTTATATAGACTAAAGTTTGAAAGCCATTGTTACCGAAAAACATTTAAAATCGTGGAAAGGAGTAGTTAACAGTGGACTCTGGAGCCAAAATGACTGGGTTCAAATTCAGCCTCCACCATTTAATAGCTGTGCCACCCTGGGGAAGGTATTCCAGCTCTCTGGACCTAAGTTTCCTCAAGTAGTAAAATGTAAAATGAGAGTAATAATAGTATTTATTTCACATGGTTGTTAAGAAGACTGAGTTTCCATATAAGGTGCTTAGAATAGTGCCTGGCACACAGTAAACAATATATAAATGTTGAGATGAGAGCGCGCACGAGAAAGAGGGGGAGAAATGTGGAAGCAAATTAAGAAAGGATATACAGGGGCGCCCGGGTGGCTCAGTCGTTAGGCGTCTGCCTTCGGCTCAGGTCATGATCCCAGGGTCCTGGGATTGAGCCCCGCATCGGGCTCCCTGCTCTGCGGGAAGCCTGCTTCTCCCTCTCCCACTCCCCCTGCTTGTGTTCCCTCTCTCATTGTGTCTCTCTCTGTCAAATAAATAAAATCTTTTAAAAAAAAAAAAAAGAAAGGATATACAGTTGATCCCTGAACAATGCAGGGTTAAAGGCACCAACTCCCCTGCACAGTTGAAAATCGTGTATAACTTTTGACTCTCCCAAAACTTAACTACCTATTGTTTGTAGACTGGAAGCTTTACTGACAACACAAATAGTTGATTAACACATATTTTGTATATGTATTCTATACTGTATTCTTACAATAAAGTAAACTAGAGAAAATGTTATTAAAATCCTAAGGAAGAAAAAATGTTTATAGTGCCTATACTGTTATTTATTGAAAAAAATCTGTGTATAAGGGGACCCATGCATTCAAACTCTGTTGTTGAAGGTTCAAATCTACAGTGTACTTATATTTTTGTAAGAATACTTATAGATGAATTTATACACAAACATACACAAATGACTGGGAAGATACATACTGAAGTGTTAAAAGTATTATCTTTGGATGTGATTATTGTTAATTTTTTATATATATATATTTTAAAAGATTTTATTTATCTGACAGAGAGATACATAGCGAGAGAGGGAACACAAGCAGGGGACGTGGGAGAGGGAGAAGCAGGCTTCCTGCTCAGCAGGAAGGGCTTGATCCCAGGACCCTGGGATCATGACCTGAGTCAAAGGCAGATGCTTAATGACTGAGCCACCCAGGCGCCCCACCTTTTTTTTTTTAACAGTAGGCTCCATGCCCAATATGCGGCTTGAACCCAGCACCCTGAGATTTAAGAGTCGCATGCTCTACCAACTAAGCCAGCCAGGTGCCCCTGATGATTGTTAGTTTTTATTTTCTTTTTGCTTACATCATCTAATTTCCTATAATGAAAAACTTCTTTTGTTACAAGGATATAGTTTTTGAAAGTTAGTAACTTATGGTTTATTTAATTATGCCCACATTTCTTAAGGTTCTCAACATTAAAGCTAGATGACACTTGCTATAAGGGAAGAAAAACCTTCACAACAAATTGCACAAGATATTGTACATTTATTAATATGGGCGAGAGTGAGGCAGTCTCTACTTGCTCACTCAGGCATTGGAATATGACCAAGTAAAGACAGTGGTGGTATAGTGGCCAAGACCATATAGGAGCAGGTACACTTGTGGATTACAGATCTTCCTTGACTTATGATGGGGTTATGTAAATTTAAAGTACTGTAAGTTGAAAAAGCATTTGATATACCTAACCTACTGAACATAATAGTTAGCCTAGCCTACTGTAAACATGCTCAGAACACTTACATTAGCCTACAGTTGAGCAAAGTTATCTAACACAAAGCCGCTTTTATTTTTTATTTTATGTTTTTATTTTTTTAGAGAGGGAGCAAGAGTGAGAGCAAGGAGGGGAGGGGCAGAGGGAGAGGGAGGGGGAGAATCTCAAGCAGGCTCCACGCCCAGCATGGAGTCCAACACATGGCTCAATTTCACAACCCTGAGATCATGACCTGAGCAGAAATCAAGAGTTGTGTGGGGGGGAATCGGAGGGGGAGACGAACCATGAGAGACGATGGACTCCGAGAAACAACCTGAGGGTTCTAGAGGGGAGGGGGGGGGGGGGTGGGTTAGCCCGGTGATGGGTATTAAGGAGGGCACGTTCTGCATGGAGCACTGGGTGTTATGCACAAACAATGAATCGTGGAACACTACTAATCATAAACTAATGATGTACTATATGGTGACTAACATAACCATAAAATAAAATTTAAAAAAATGTATATAATTGACATAAAACATTGTATAAGTTTAAGGAGTACAGTGTGATTTGACATATGTTTATATTGTAAATGATTACCATAATAAACTTAGTTAACACATAAAAAAAAAGAAAAAACAATCAAGAGTTGGACGCTTAACCAACTGAGCCCCTAGGTACCCCAAGCCTATTTTATAATGAAGTATTGGTATCTCATGTGATTTACTGAATATTGTACTGAAACTGAAAAACAGACTGGTTGTGTGGGTGCAGAATAGTTGTTAGTGTATTGGTTGTTTATCCTCATGACCACATGGCTGCAGCTCATTCCCATTGCTTAGCATTCCAGGAGTATGGTATTGCATACTGTGTATCACTGGCCCAGAAAAAGATGAAAATTAAAAATTCAAAGTATGGTTTCTATTGAATGCATATTGCTTTCGCACCATCATAAAGTTGAAAAGTCATTAAGTCAAAGACCTTCTATACTTCCCTTGTTTTCAGCTGTTGGGAAGGAGGTACCTTTCAATGGAGGTTCATTACTATGTTCTGGGAACCCACAGGCTCTCCCTGAATTTTCTACACTGGAATCAGTTACTCTATGGTTTCTAGAAACACTTTACCATATATTAAGAGAGATACTAAAGGCAAGGCAGTCAATCTATAACACTAATACCACTGAGAAAAAACACAAAATTCAATTAGATTTTACTTATACAATCCTTTCATTTTCTTTTTCTTACCTTTTCTCTCCTTTCATTCTCCTGTTCTCATCTCTTTTGCTTTTCTTCCTTTTAGTTCTACCTAGGCTTTAAGCTTGAATGTATGTAGCTCTAAAAGTATACTTTGGTCCTGTTAGTGGCTCTGCTCTTCACTTTTGCTCCAGTATGAGGACTGGCAACTTGGAACTTCAGTTCAACCCTCTTATTTTCCTCCATTGTTTAGATACAAATCCTGAGTTATGTTAACTCCTAAAGTCAGTCTCCTTCCACAAATCTTAGTAACATACAAATATTTCTGAGTGGCTACTGGTAAAATACTACTACATATTACGAAAGCTGAAGCAGTAGCTTACAAATATAAAAACTCAAAAAATGGACTTTAGAGGAATAAGCAAACAATAAAATGTTAGCCTGAGTGGTAAAGGTTCTTCAACAGTACCATAAAAAATGAGTAATGATGGTAAGCAGTGTCTCATAAACAAACCTGTAAGTGAGATGGGGAATCAAAGATAGAAGGTATGACTCCAGGTTTCAGTTTAATATTTGGAGCACTTCTGTCAAAATCTGTCTTCTTAAAGTGCCTTGAACACAACACGTCTCCTTTTTTAGGCTCCCAAATGCCTGCGGCATTCACATCAAGTCTTTTCATTGCTAATACCCATTTTCTTTTGACGTTTTCATCTGTGGGGAATCTAGAAAAAAAATACAAAAAGTATTTTAAAATTGAACACTATTGATAGATACTTGAATTAAGGCTGGACTAAACTGGTTCATTGATGAGTTTGTTATTAATCTTGGGAAATGGAATATTCAGGAAGCCATCATGAAGCATGCTTTCAGAACTTTCAGTTTTAATAGATTTTTCTACCAAGCATGCTGCAGAAATACGGCCCTCATTTCAATTTTCTTCATTATAAAGAAGAAAAGTTTCAGTGGATATTTCAACCTTATAGGAAGACCCACAACTGGAGGTTTTTCTTCATCTATAGGTGATAATATCACTTTGGCCTCTTCCTACATGAAATGATATCCAGAATTTATCCCAGATGAATAAAGTACCTTGTACTTTCATTCTTCTGTCAGCATCAGAAAGTTGTTTAGTACAGTATTTAATACACAACAGGCCTATAAATGCTTAGTGAATGAGGCAAAGAACTGCTGCAGAGTTTGATGTTCTAGAGATAAGAACTATTTTATTGTTAGTTAAATAATAACTAACTAATTTGAAGTGACAGTGATAATTTACATTTTTATAATTTAGTTTAAAAGTTTAAGATACCTGCCAAGGTATCAGAGGCTAGTAAACAAAAATATCAAGCTCATTTTTGCTACTATTATTACTTTGCATTTTAACATACCTTCAAAGAAATTCAGTTTTATTTACATGGAGTTTACAATCTGAAGCAAGAAAGGATCTTTGCCCAAATATGTCCTGTCCTTTCTATTTAGAAATAGATCAAACTTATGTTGTAGAGAAAAAAGTATGAATTACAAGCTTTGAAGCTGTAATTCAATAACCGTATCTTTTCAATTTTCCAAGATGATTCAAATCTTTTTTGGAAAAGGTAGGGTACACATACTCATTTTTTGTTTCCTCATACCTAGCAAAGTAGTTAACAGATCTTTCTCTAGCACGTAGCACAGTGCCTGGTGCAGAAGCAGCAAAATAAACCTTTAGCAAATGAATAATTATTAAATCTTATTACTCCTTTCCTTTGCTGTCAGAAGAATGGCTAAAATAGAAAATTTGGAACATCTTGATTTATTGGTAATACTGCTAAAGAACCCTTGGTCTGAGCTTGTAATTTATATTTTTTTCTCTACAACATAAGTTTGATCTATTTCTAAATAGAAAGGACAGGACATATTTGGGCAAAGATCCTTTCTTGCTTCAGATTGTAAACTCCATGTAAGCAAAACTGAATTTCTTTGAAGTTATGTTAAAATGCAAAGTAATAATAGTAGCAAAAATGAGCTTGATATTTTTGTTTACTAGCCTCTGATACTTTGGCAGGTATCTTAAACTTTTAAACTAAATTATAAAAATGTAAATTATCACTGTCACTTCAAATTTAGCTAAAAAAGCTATTTACAGATTTGGTAACTAAAGATCAAAACTGAAGATTTAAGCGGAACCGTCTTTGGCTTTTTCTAAGTCAGAAGTACTTGGCTTAACTACAGCAAAATCTTACACGTGAAATGTCAGTCCTTTTAACTTGGAATTTGGCAAACAGCGAGAAGCACATCCAATGGCCGAGCAACATTTCACCATGATTTTAGCAACTCATAACAGAACTGAAAGAAAATTAAAACGATAAGAGTTAGTAACTTCAAAGCTAAGGGCAACATATTTACTTTTCCCAGCATGTTTTAGGTACTGTGAAGTCATGCTAGAAAGCCAAAGGCAAATATTTTCTTCAACACCGGCAGCTTTAAAAAATTTTCCAGGGGCTTGGCTCTTTATAAGGCAAATCGTATTTCACTACGCACTCTGAGGTGTCTGAGTCAATCCCGCAGTCTTGTACTTTCTCTTCCGCGGCTTCTTACACTCACCGTGCCACAAGGCCTTTGCATACTAACTTTTACTCATCTTTTAGCTACGTGTTGCTTCCCCAGGGAAACCTTCCTTGACACTCAGATTCAATCAGATCCCATCTAGCATTAGCTCTCATAGAACACACACTTCTACCTAGCGCTTCTCAAAGTTGTAATCTTATTTCAGTGATTCTCTGATTAATGTCTTTCTCCCTTACCAGTGCGGGAGTTCCAAGAGGGCATGGTGGGGCGTGTGTTTTTTCTCACTTTTTGTCCCCATGCTTAACTGGTGACTGGTACGTAGGAAACGTCAATGCATATTTTGAAGGAATGAAGAACGAGTAAAAGCAGCTCGAACGGTCGGCGAGGACCCTGGCGCCTAGCAGCTGCAAGAGCAACTCGCGCAGGAACCCGGCTCAGAGCCCAGGGGCCCGCGGAACTCCGCCCCTTTCTCGAGGCTCCGGGCCGCCGCAGGGAGAAAGGGAGGGGCCGCCCTGTCACAGGTGCGGATGCGGCCGGAGAGCGTCCCTTCCTGGGGGGGGCGGGCACCGGGCGTCTCCGCGCCGCTTCGGTCCACCTCGCCCCGAACCACGCCCAGAGTTTGGGCTAGTAGCAATGGGGTGGGGGGAAGAAGAAGCAATCTAAGAGTTATTACCGTTAGCAGCGAAGTCAGCGACTAACGTCGAAGACAGAGATTGCGTTTCCCTTCACTTCCGCCCCGTAGCCCCGGGAACCGGAAATCCGGCTGCCCCGGGTCACGTGCTCAGCCGCCATATCAGCTCGGCTGGCTGCTGCGGCCGGGAGGGGGTGTGCTAGTGACGCTACTCTGGGCGTGGTTTTCATTCTCGGGGAAGGGTCCGTGGAGTTTGAGGGGAGGTGGCGGAGATGGCGGCCTCGGCGTGGGAAGATGGCGCCCGCGGCCAAAAGCAAGGGCGGCGGGGCTGCGAGCACTATGACAGAGGATGTCTCCTGAAGGTGACTTCAGTGGGCTCTTCCCTTACAGGCTTCCGCCGGGCCGGGCGGGGGCGGAGTGGGCAAGGCGGTTAGATTTGGGCTTAAGTTAGAGGCTAAGCTGTTTGTCAGGGTACCTTCTCCATTTCGAATTGGGTTCCTGCCGTGGAGAACGTTTTGGCAAGGCCACCACAGGCCCCACCTTTTCTCCTGCTTAACATTTTGTAAGCAAAGCTCTCTTCTTGGGAAGGGCCTGGGCGTGCACATCAGTCACTTTATCAATGGGTTTATTTAGTCTTTTGCTACTATAAGTAGACTGAGGCAGCCCCGGGCCTGAGCTGGCTTTTCGCCAGGGTGACTTTCAGGTGTGTGATGAAATAATGGAAGAGGTATAAGTAAGTGGAGAATCGGAATACGATTTCAGCTCCTGTAGTAAGTTTTACAGCTTGCCAGCTTCATTTTAGAGTCAGTGAATATGCCTAAGCCTGCCAAGAAAGTGTTTTTGTGAAATAGAAAGAGCCGTGTAATTGCCGCTAAATACATTATGTGTAGGAAAGTGCCCAGTATGCATATGTTGTTATTTTTGTTGTTTACTTTGAGGAAAATTGCTAGTCAATCTACAACTTTTAAAATTGGCACCCATTCAATTAAAGTTTCCTGATTTTTGTTGTTGCTGCAAGAAGCATTTTAAAGATTTTACTTAGAAAGTTTGAGCTTTGGGGTGCCTGGGTGGCTCAGTTGGTTAAGCGACTGCCTTCGGCTCAGGTCATGATGCCGGAGTCTCGGGATCTAGTCCCGCATCGGGCTGCCTGTTCGGCGAGGAGCCTGCTTCTCCCTCTGACCCTCCCCCCTCTCATGTACTCTCTCTCTCTCATTCTCGCTCTCTCAAATAAATAAATCTTAAAAAAAAAAAAAAATTTGAGCTTTGGAGTCCCACAGCCCTACCCCCAAATCTAGCTCTGACCCTTGATAGCTCAGTGCTTTTGAGCAAGTGCTCCATTTGTAAAATAGAGGTGATAGAAGTTCCTGTTTCATTAAAAAAAAAAAAAAGGTACGAGGCCTGTAAGGACAATTTAGAGCCTTCTTGTAGGCCAGGCTTGGTGAACATTCCTTCACTGCACTGGGTGACGCTCTTTCAAAGTTAGTTGTTCACTAAGTGTTGTGTAAGCAAATCGAATGCTATCCTTATGTTTCCATTTCCACGGTTGTATGTTCTGTTACTCTTTGAAACTTGATAACTAGAACTGAATTCAGCATGTTGGCCCTTTCCCCCAGGAAACCACGTAGTGCTGAGATGCTTGACCCTGAGTATCAAATAGTTTTTTGCCTTCCCTCTCCTTCTTCCTTGAAAATACCAGAAGCCAAGTGAAGAATTTTGAGGAGGAAGTAATCAATTAAATAAAATGCTGCTGTTTGAGTAAGATAAGAACTGAAAATTGACCTTTAAATTTGGTGAGGAGGTCACTTGTGATCTTGACAAGAGAAGTTTCAGTGGAGAGATTGGGACAAAGCCTGATTGCAGTGGATTTGAGAGAGAATGAGAGTAGTGAAACTGGAAGTAGCCTTCATAGACAATTCTTGGAGTTATGCTGTGAAAGAGAGCAAAAAAAAAAAAAAAAGAGTCTGTGGTTGCTGAATGATGTGGGATCATGAGATTTTTTTTTTCCCTTTAAAATGGGAGGTATTGCAGCATGTTTGCATATTGGAAATGACCAGTGAAGTGAGAACATTTTATTTATTTATTTGTCAGAGAGAGAGAGAGAGTGTGAGTGCACAAGCAGGGGGAGCTGCAGGCAGAAGGAGAAGCAGGCTCCCCGCTAAGCAAGGAGCCCGATGTGGGGCTTGATCCCAGGACCCTGGGATCATGACCTGAGCTGAAGGCAGATGCTTAACTGACTGAGCCACCCAGGCATCCCATGAAGTGAGAACATTTTATAATGCAGGAGGGAAAGGAAAAACTGTAGGAGCATTTAGTGCTCTTGAGTAATCGAAGATGGGATCCAGTGCACAAGTGGAGGAGTTGGCCTTAGAGAAAAACATAACAAGGGAAGACCGAGTATTAGGTACATTTGCAAGTAGGTTGATAGTTGGTGAGAAAATGTTTTCTTTGATTATTTCTTTTTTTTTTAAATTTTATTTATTTGACAGACAGTGAGAGAAGGAGCACAAGCAGGGGGAGTGGGAGAGGGAGAAGCAGGCTCCCTGCTCCTGCTGAGCAGGGAGCCTGATGTGGGGCTCGATCCCAGGACCCAGGGATCATGACCTGAGCCGAAGGCAGATGCTTACCGACTGAGCCACCCAGGCGCCCCCTTTGATTATTTCTATTTTAATAATCAAGATTATGAGCGGAGTATAAGGGTGGAGGAAAAGGTTTAAAGGTTTAAAGAGAGAATATGTGAAATAATGTGAAATAATCATCTAGATTTTAGGTCCTAGACTGTAGAAGAATGAGGGAATCGACTAGGGAAATGAATAAAAACCCACTTTTTATTAGTGATCATGACTTAGAAGTGAGACCAGTGTGTTTTTCCTCAGCTATATCTGGATATTCCTTATATAGGAGAAAATTGGATTTAACCAGATTTGGGGTTTTGGTTAGGAGAATATGTAGAGGAAGAGAGAAGGAAGGAATTAAGAGTATGTGCAAGGGAAACATTGAAGTGAGTTGGAGAGAAGAGGTAGTGGTTAGAGAATTTCATGCTTGAAATTACGATATAAACAGGATTCAGTTCTTGTTTTAGAGCAGTGGTTCTCAAAGTGTGGTGAATGGACCCCCTTAGTAATTCCTGAGGCCCTTTCGGGGGACCCTTGGGGTCAAAACTACTTTCTGATACTAAGATGTTGTCTTTTTCAGTGTGTGCAAAAGCAGTTACTAAAACTGCTGGCATCTGACCTGTACTACACCTATAGTTTTTTTAAAAAAAGTCTCACTTAAGAATGTCATTGATAAAATTAAAGCAGTAAAATTACTAATTTTATAAAATCTCAACTCTTGAATATGTCTTTTTACATGTTTGATGAAATGGGATGTTTTCATCAAGCACTTGTGCATACTAAAATTAGACGGTCACTGTGAGGAAAGTTCTTATGCAGTTGGATTGTGAACTGAACTAGTTTCTTGTGTAACAGTTTTTACTTGAAATCTGATTATTCAGACTTGTGTATTTGGTGGACACTTTCTTGAAAAGTGAACTGTTGAAAAGAAACTGTCATTACAAGGAAAACAATTGACAGTGGTAAATTCAAGCTTTCACATAAAAATTAGAATTTTGAGGGGCGCCTGGGTAGCTCAGTCGTTAAGTGTCTGCCTTTGGCTCAGGTCATGATCCCAGGGTCCTGGGATCAAGCCCCGCATCAGGCTCCCTGCTCCGTGGGAAGCCTGCTTCTCCCTCTCCCACTCCCCCTGCTTGTGTCCCCTCTCTCGCTGTGTCTCTCTCTGTCAAATAAATAAAATCTTTAAAAAAAAATTAGAATTTTGAAACACTTATGTAAGCTTCTGTGAGCTTAAAAGTGTCCCAATACCTAAAGACTTTGCTGATGAGATCGGGAGTGATGTTAACAAATAGGATTTTTTTATATTGCTTGGAAAATGTGTGACCGTTTGGAAGAGCTGTAGAACTCAGTGAACTGAGTCATATTTTCCAAATGACTAATGTGTGGGTAAAAGATTGATTCAAAGCGCAAGATAGAGCAATGGATTTTGATGTAACAGAGGGAGAAAAGTTCACCGATAAAATTTCAGAGCCCATGTTACAACTGATCATTTATAAGAGTTGTTGAATTTTGGTGTAATATCAGAGAGGATTATCCATAATTCTCTGTAAACTTGATTAAAATACTCCTCCCTTTTCCAACTGTATATTTGTGGGAGTACAGAGTTTCTTCATATACTTCAGCTAAACTGATTGAATACAGAATTTGAAGCAGAAATGACAATCCAGCTATTTTGGGGGAAACTAGTTATTTTTCATTAAAATATGTCATTTACATTAACATGTAATAGGTTTGTTACTGTTACTTTTAAAAGAAGTAATATTTTTAAAAACTTACAATTTTATTTTATAGTATGGTGTCAGTAGAGATAATTCACATAATGAGAAGCTCTTTGAGATCCTGAACAATTTTTAAGAGTGTAAAGGGGTCCTGAGACCAAAACATTTGAGAACTACTGTTCTGTGGTATGACTGTGAGAATATGTGGCTGAGGAGGGTTGGAGAACAAGACCATTGGAAGTAAGAAAGAAAGTCAAGGAATTGAGAGTTCAGAGTATCCATCATGATGGATGTGCAGATCACTAAGATTTAGGGCAAGAGTAGTAGTGGGAGAGAAAGGGTACTAGTTGAGCGTTAAAATCTTTAAGGAATGAACTGTGTTGTGGTAAATCATCAGAAATTTTCAGAAATGAGTGGATCTGGAAGGTCACAGTATACTGGAAAGTACTGGGTTAACTTACTGGCTTGGAAACTTCTTGATGTACTAGTTAGGATAAGGCTAAGTTACTAAGGGTAACAGAAAAGCCAACAGTAATGTGGGTTAAAGAATTAAGAGTTTATTTTTTCCCACCTAACAATTTCAAGGTGAATTACCCAGTTTGGCGATGACACTGACCCACATGATCACTCCAGGGACAAGTTTTTCCCATTGTATTATTTTGCCATGTTTTAGGGAATACAGTCATTAGCTGGGTTGCTGCCATGTCCAGGTTTCATCTGATGGAAAGGGGAAAGGGAGCATGGAGGAGGAGGCATGCCCAGTTTCTTAATACTCAGGCCCAGGAGTGGCACTGATTTCTTCTGCTCATTTTCTTTTGGTAAGAACTTAGTCATTTGGCCACAGCTGAAATCAAAGAAGGCTGGGAACTGTAGTATAGCTGGGCAATCATGTGTCCAGTAAGGAGAGAAAAGATTTTGGTAGTCTGCCACTCTTGAAAACAAGGACTATCTCTTACACTTATTGTATCCTCTAAAATATCGAGGATATAGTTGATTAATAAATACAAGTGAATTAAAATATCTTTATTATAGTTAATGTTTAAGGGTTGAAGTAGGTAAATGAGTTTATCTGGCAATGTCTCAGAAGAAGTTGCCTGCCTGCCATTTAGGCTGAGGATGAGTTTAGGGTGTTGTGGGATTAGTTCTTCTGTCTGAGGATGTTCATTCTTCATAATTCTTTTGTCTTTAAGGACTAGATTATGTTCAACTTGATAAAGACATAGATATTGAGGGGGAATAGTTAAAATATGCTAAGAAACAGTGAAAAGTTATGTTTAGGATCAGCAAACTCATCCATTGGTTGTATTCTTTGACTTTGTTCCAGAAGGAGGAGGAAGAAAATTTTTTTTTGCATTGTAAACTCTAAACTTGTTTTTCTCTTCTTATACCTCTTTTTCCCCTGGGCATTAGGCACCTTGCTGTGACAAACTTTATACTTGTCGGTTGTGTCATGATAACAATGAAGATCATCAGCTAGATCGCTTTAAAGTAACGGAAGTGCAGTGCATAAAGTGTGAAAAAATTCAACACGTAAGATTTTATCACATTTCTATTTTCTTTTTAAAAAATGTTTGTTAAGGTGGTTTACAGAATTTAATCGAGTATTGCAAATAAGACTTCTTTAACTCTAAGCAATATCTTTGATTTAAATGTTTAAAACCTTGTAAAAACCTGCATATATTGTAACAAATTGTGGATATTCAAATAATAATACAAAATGTTTTGGTAAATTTAATCTAATTTTTAATTACGTGTGTCTGTTTTAGGCCCAACAGACTTGCGAAGAATGTAGCACATTGTTTGGGGAATATTATTGCAGTATATGCCATCTCTTTGACAAAGACAAGAAGCAGTATCATTGTGAAAACTGTGGAATTTGTAGGTACTGTATGTAAAATGTTCTTTTCTAATTACTTTTGATTTACCTGGGCAATAATAGTTTTTAAAATCAACTTTGTTGGGGTATAATTTGCATCTAATAAAATGCATTCATTTTAAGTGTCCAGTTGAGTGTGACAAATATATATAACTGTGTTACTACCAACCTGATCAAGATAAACATTTCCGTTATTCTAAAAAAAACTTTCATGCCTCTTTTGTAGTAATATTTTAATTAGCCCATCCGTTATTGTGTAGCTATTTAAAATTTTAACGTTTGGATCTAAAATATGCTTTTATATGAAGTGTTTCGTTGGCAACTGAAGTAGAAAATTAAGGTGGACTTTTTTAAAAATTAGTTTTTAAAAAAATTCTCTAAGTATAGGCTGATTTATTGGAAAAAGAAAGAATAAAAATAACCTACAGTCCAGTCTCTCACTGATAAGCTGTTCTCAACATGCCATATATAGGAATTTTTTCTTAATAAGAATTCTGAAGTATTAGATATATACAAAAGCACATCTGTAACATATGTTACAAAGTATACTAATACAATAAGTCACTCAGTTTAAGAAATAGAATGTTACCAATACTGTTGAAACTCCCAAGTGTTCCACATTAGTCTTTTCTCCTCTTTCCCATTGGAGATAACCACTGTCTTGAATATTTTAAATCACTTTCTAGCTTTTATGTAGTTTGTTTTTAAGGAAGGATAACAAACATTCCAAAAGATGCAGAAATCATAAACTATCTTATGAATTTACTTAGGAAAAAATTCTTTTAATCACCACCCAGATCAAAGAGTGGAATGTTCATAGCAATGTAGTAGTCTCTCTTATGCCCCCTTCAAGTCAATACAGTAGTCCAAAGGTAACCACTCTCCTGAACTTTTGTAAATGGGATCATACAGTATATGCTTTTTTGTGTTTTTATATATTTTGTGTTTTTATATATTTTAAGGCAATATCATTAGGTGTTTACATAGAATTGTTCTATATTCCTTTATGATTGACCCATTTATCATTATATAATGTCTCTTTTTATCTTTAGCAATATTTCCTGTCTTAAGAGCTACTATATGTAGATCAGCTTTCATTTGATTAGTTTTTGCATGTGTATCTATCCCTTTTTTTTTATTCCAAACATTCTGTATACTTATATTTAAGGCATTTATCTTGTAAGTAGAATATAGTTGATTTTTTTTAATGGAGTTTGATGAAAACGCTTGTCTTTTAATTAGCGTATTTAGTCTACTTATTAATATAATTGTATAAATATACATATATAACTCTACAATGTACAATTTTCCAACTCAATCTACAATTTTAGTATTTTCTATTCCCTTAGTATTTGTCTGTTTGTCCTTTTTTTCTCCTTGCTTGCCTTCATTTGGATTAATCAGCAATTTTTCTATTTTGTTTTTATTCTCTATAAACTTGTTAGAGATACATTCTTTTATTATTCTTTAGCAGTTATCTTAGAAATTATACATCCTTGGTTTACTAGAGTAATGTATTTATTATTTCTGGGCAGTGCAAGAACCTTAACTAAGAGGATTTACATGCAATTGTCATGTTTTTTAATCTGTATATTTTAAACTCTATAGACATTGTTTTGAACAGCCAGTATTCTCTTAGATTTACCTACATATTTACCGTTTCTGTTGCTCTTGCCTTTCTGCTTCTCCTTTGTCTTCAGGATTATTTTCCTTCGGTTTCAAGAATTCTTTTCATTAAGAAGATGGCAGGAGGGGAAGAATGAAGGGGGGGGAATTGGAGGGGGAGACAAACCATGAGAGACTATGGACTCTGAAAAACAAACTGAGGGTTCTAGAGAGGAGGGGGGTGGGGTGTTGGGTTAGCGTGGTGATGGGTATTAAAGAGGGCACGTTCTGCATGGAGCACTGGGTGTTATACACAAACAATGAATCATGGAACACTACATCAAAAACTAATGATGTAATGTATGGTGAGTAACATAACATAATTAGAAAAAAGAATTATTTTCATCATTACTTTTAGTGAGGCTCTGCTGGTGACAAATTCTGTCAGTTTTTTGTCTCTTGAAAATGTCTTTATTTGCTTTTATTTTTAAGATTTTTATCTTTTTTAGATATAGAATTACTTTCAGCATTTTAAAAGATACTCTGGTGCCATGGTTTCCGTTTTAGAGTCACCTAACAGGATTATTATTGCTTCTTTGAAGATAATCTGTCTTTTATCCCTCTCTCGATGTTTTCGAGTCATTGGTTTTTAGCAGTTTTTCCATGATGTGTACAGGTTTGTGAAATATTTATCCAGCTTGCAGTTTGTAGAATTTCTTGAATCCGTGGCATGATGTTTTCTGTCAGTTTTGAAATACTCTTGGCCAGTATCTCTTCAGATAATGTTTCTGCCTCTTGCTCTTGCCTCATCTGAGACTTTAGGTGTAGAGCTTTTCACTGTGTCCCCTTAGCTTCTAGTTTTTTTTTTTCTCTATCTTTTTTCTTTCCCCCCCATCATGTTTAAATTGCATAGTTTCTACTGATTTATCTTCCAGGTCTCTGTCGTACCTTGTTGAATCTTCTATTGAATCTATTGAGTTTTTCATTTTAGGTTTTTTTTTTTTCTTCAAATTATAGAATTTACATTTAATCCTCCCCCACCCTCTGTACCTTCCATTTTTTAGGTGAAATTCTTCACCTTTTTTTTTTCCCCTTCAACATATTAATCACTGGTAATTTATTTATTTTATTTTATTTATTTATTTTTTTCTCACATGCCCATCAGCTGCAGATTTTTATTAGATGGAGGATGTCTTAGGTTGGCTCAAAGGAAAGTGGTGACAATTGGCAAGCACTTCTTCATACAAGAGAGGAGGCATTCCTGGCTAATGGGGTTGGGTAGTTATGATATCTAAAGGTGAGGGTCTTCTGCTTAACTTTGACCACCCAGGAAGATCTTCTCTTTGGCACTCAATATCACCAGTCCTGACATGAAAGGGTCTGCAATGAGCTAGTTCAACTTGGCCAACAGTTCTTCCAGTTCTGCTGAGCTTTGAACCTTCCCTTGAAGTCTTCTTCAGAGTGCTCCTTCACTGACAATCTGACTCCTTCGGGAAGATTGCTTTGGATTATTTCCAAAAAAATCTCTGCAAATGTAAGCACTCAAACCGCTGATCTGAACCACTCGCTCATGGGTGGTAAGAACTGAGTCCAGGAGCATTTTGCTGCCTTGGTCCTGCAGCCGCAACACCTCCATGGTTTTGGTGGGCATAGTGTAACTTTCCTCAACTTTAATGGATAGATGGTTGCAGAGGTTGTGAACATATTGGGCATAACTCTCTGCCACGGCCATGTCGTATGCAGTCAAGTGAATGTTTAAAATCCCATATTCATAATCTGTCCCCAAATTAATGGGTCTCACTTCCACTTTTCCCCTCTTCTTCTTGGGCTCCTGTGCTTTGACTAGGTGCTTGTATCTCCCAATGCCATGGGTAGGCTTTGTCTTGTAGTGCCGACTGGTACCCATCAGAATGCCACCTGCAGAACAGATGGGATTGTCTCTTGAAGTGCTGACCCTTAAGAGAGAAAAGGCTTGCTTAAAAATGGTATCGTTCCTCAGACACAGCATCTTTCCCAGAGCTCCGTTCATCCTTTGCTGCTGTGGCCGATAACTGTGTGTAAGCTGAAGACCCCACCAAGCTGCAGCGATCCCCAGGCTTCTGAAAACACTGAATCACTGGTAATTTAAAGGCAGTGTCTGAGAAATCCACTATCTTGATTATCTGTGCGTCAGTTCTGATTTCTGTATTTTTTTTCCTTTGGTGTTTGGTTCTTCAGTCTTGCCTTTTGGCATGCTTCTTATTTTTTTTTTTAGTTGGTTGTTGGACAAAATTGTATAAGCTCTGGATGCTAATTTTTTCCAAAGAGATTTTCTTTTGGCAAGCAGTTAATTAGAGACAGATCCCATTGATCCAATTAAAGATTGAGATGATTAGAGGCCAAGTTTCATTTATTAAGTCCTGTTCTATTTTGTTTTCCCTAACACTCAGGCTCCTAGCACATGGTTCCTCAGGGGGCTTGACGTAAAGCCAGGGGTTTTACCAGGGCATCTCTTGTGGCCGGACCTGGCCTTCAGGTTTTTTGCCTCCCTAGCAGAGAAATTGCCAGAGGGTTTACTTGGTTTCCTATCCTCTTACCCACTGCTTACTGCTTAGCTTCTTAGCTTCTAATAGAATAGTGTAGGGACTGCAAGTTCTCTAAGGAGAAAGAAGCAGGGAATGTTGGCTTTGCCTCAGGGTATTTCCCTTCTCTCTGGGATATTAACCCTTTTAGTCCTTAGTTGTTCTTTACTGCTATTAAATAGCTTGTTTGTTTTTTTTTGAATCTAGCTTTTGTAGTTGTCAGTGGGAGCTTTGGTCCTATACAAGCTACTTTTTCTTTGTGGAGTGGAAGTTTACAATACATGTTTAGGTTTGCTTATTTTTAAACTCATACTCTATATATTTTTCTATTTTTTTTTTTAACAGAACTTCGTTTCTAGGGTTCATCCTATTTGATTCATGAGCTCCAATTAATTTTTACTGTTGTATTGAGTTATTTTGTATGTCAGATCTGCACACAGTTTTTAATTACCACGGTTATAACAAAGGAATCAATACATTTTATGGTTTATTTATTGACTTTCAAGTTGTTGAGACTGCAGAATAGATAGACATTTCATCTTACCCTGTATATATTAAGCTTCATGAAATTAAGATGTTTTCAGATTTTAAATTCCTCTATCTGGTAAATATTAAGCTTCGTGAGATCAAGGTATTTTCAAACTTTAAGTTTGTATACCTGGGAGTGCCATGTATTCGGTAGGTACTTAGTAATGTGTAGGTTGTGTATCTTTAGCAAAATGTTTTTGGTGTTATGATTTCTGTCTGTATATGAAGAAAATTTGTCATCAACATTTAACATCTATTTTTAAATCCTTTTACAAATAACAATATTTTTTATTGTATAATTTATATATTATG